TTTAATTTCAGGTTTAAAATATTGAAAACAAATATTGAACTTATATTATTTTTACATTAATTATTATGTTTAAAATAGAATTCAGAAGAAAATTTTAATTCCCGTCAGTAAGTGTTGTATTTAATATTTCCTTGCAGATATTCGGCAATCATGCTTGAAGTAAGACATGTTTAGTACGAATTACAATGTAGCTAGGTATGCATATACTTTAAAGAGATTGTTATACGAATATAACGAATTACAGATATAGCGAAGAAATTTTAAGTCCCTAGGAATTCCTTTAACCGAGATTTACTGTATATCACTGAAACTATGAAAAATCATGATTATTACAGTTACATACATGTACATTGATGCATGTTCTTTTATTTTTTTTTTAATGACAAATATATTTTTGTCCATAGCAAATTTTTCATGAACATATATATTGTTTTTATTAAGTCTAAAATTATAGAAATAAACTTATTTTTTGTCAAGATTCTGAAAATTATTTAACTGTGATTTTTATAATCTATTTTAATCAAAGTATTCTTTGGTACTTTTGCATTCAGAAAAAAAAAAAAAAAAACACTTTATAAGTTGTTTAGCTGTTTTGATGAAAACAGAAAAGTCTTGTACCCACTCTGCCTCCAACGAAGTATAATGTACATGATGAGTTTTGCTTTTTTAACAAAGTTTGCTCAATTTTTCTAGAAAATATTTTATATGCTCTTTGTCTTTAATAATGTGCCAATATATATTAAAGTTTACTGAAAGTTTACAGTAGAAAACAAAGCTTGCTCCGCCTTCATAATAGCGACTAATAACATAAAAAAAAAAGTTTTGTAAGGTAGTGCCCCTAACAGGAGCTGCTTTTTACGGGCCTTAATGCTGAATGTACAATGAGCATCAACAAGAAAACTAGAAATTATATTGCTAATAAGTGAATTGTTTTACAACCTTCCAATTTTAAAGCATTATTTGAAAAATATCCACATATTTTGATGATGGGGCGATTTTGATACTTCGTGGTTCTTGTTCTTTATTGTATCCTTAATACATGCATTTGTTTATGCATGTGATTTATTATAAAGTACCAAATGTATTATTTCAATCTAACATATATCCGTGAAACTAAAACAATGGTAACACTTCCTTTTTGTTGATAAAAAATACTTTGAAAAACATTGCTACAGGCCTGTTATATTTGGTTTTTTAAAAAAGAAAATGTAATTTTTCTTCAAAATTCAATATTCTTTCAAGATTTATATTATCTGTAAAATAATTAAGCTTAAAGTATGCGCTACAATTCAGTCTCCATGCAAATATTTACCATACCCGCATTTCCAAAGAAAGTTCGGGTATATTGTTGTTACCCTGGTCCCTCCGTCCGTCCGTCGGTAAACTTTCTTCACCATAAACTTCTCTTTTATTTTAAGCAGTAACCAATTAATCTTTTGGAATATGATAGGTGGTGTGCTGTAGATGTGCAACAAAATTTTGGAATTTTAAATATTGTCTCAGGGGCAAAACGAGGGCCAAAAAAGCCTCACAAAAGCCTGGTTCCCAGAACTCATCTTACATTTTACGCAATAGCCTAATCATATTTTGAAAGATAATTGGTGGTGTCCTTTAGATGTGCCCTAAGGTTTTGGAAATTTTCATTTTCACCCTAGGTGTCAAACGAGGGTCGAAAATGATGTTTTTACTATGACCTGGTTCCTTGAACTCCGCTTACATTTTACGCAGTAGCCTGATCATCTTTTGGAAGATGATTAGTGATGACCTGTAAATGTGCAGTAAGGTTTCGGAATTTCATTTTCACGGTTGGGGGTCAAGCGGGAATCGAAAAATGACGTCCCTATTGTAAACTCATTTTATAAAGTCATAAATTAATACATGTTATAATCTGATGAGAAAATAGAAATAAAATTAAAAAATTATATATATATAACAGCAAATAAGACTTAGTTTAAAAGTTTTTATAAAATTTTACTCATAATTTTCAAGCATGGTATCATTAAAGAATTGTTTTATAGAACCAAACAACCTCTTATAAGTGAATAAGGACCTGAAAAGTGTGTTGAACAAAGGAATTTTGTAATTTGATTGCTCTCCCGTTTTCAGTATAATGACTTTAGCCAATTGAATAGATCCGAATTTTGATCAGTTCCTAATAATTAATAATTAAAGGATATCCGCTCCTCAGACAGGAGCGATAACCCTTTAATTGTTCCCCGTTTTCGCGAAAGCGACGGGACATTAAATCTCATTTGTCTGTTCCTCTGTCAGTCTGTCCCTCTGTCAAAAAACTTTAACCTTAGTGATAACTTTTGAATGAGAAGAGATAGGGCTTTTATATTCCACATGTACATTACCTGTGACAAGATTTTCCAAATATACTGTGGTGTTTTGACCTCGTGACCTTTTCTGAAGTTTGACCTACTTTTCACAAATTTGAACATTTTAAAAAAAAAAAAATTGGTAATGACTTTTGAAAGAGAAAAAGTAGGGCTTTTGTATTACACACGTGTATTACCTGTGACAAAACCTTTTTTAAATATACTTTGAATTTTGACCCCGTGACCTTCATCTACATGTATTTTTCAAATATGATATCTTTCCTGATAACTTTTGATTGAGAAGAGATAGGGCTTTCACCATTGACTTGTGCATTACCTGTGACAAGACGTTTCCGAGTCTATTTGATTTTTGACCCTTGACCTTTATGTCTGACCTAATATTCAATAATATTGACTTTGACGATTATTTCTGAATGACATATAATAGGGCGTTCATATTTGACACAATATGTCATAAATAATTTCATCCCATCAACTACGACAACAAAAGCGGGGAACCACAATTCTTTGAATTTGCTTGTTTATCTTAAAATATATTTGTTGATCAATTTTCAACTAGGAAATGCATAGAAGGTCATTTTATTCGCATTTACTGAAAATTTATTTGAGATTTACTAATTATTCCTATATAATGGGATTAACTTTAATAATGATGACATCTGAAGAATTACCGTGGGTAATTTCATGTTAATTTGAGAATTCAGGGACAATTTTTGTGAGCACTTTAAATTATTCACATCTTTTATTATTTGAGTTTATGTTAATTTGGCGCATCATTGAAAGGACTTAGATAAAAATTGCAATCACCTTTCGTTACTCCAGCTTTTGACCAAAAATAAATTATGAAAAATGTGTATGTTTAAAATGTTATAAGACATTAAGTATTTAAATTACTGACATAACATTTAAATAACAAATAAATTAAACAAAAATGACATTTTAGTCCACCTTCCAGTTCTATTAGTACTTTATATTATCACTTATCACTACAAGACTTGTTGGAAACTTTTCGACATTTGCACGTGGTTCATGGATTGGACTTCTTATCGCACAGGCGAGGTACGTTAACATAACTTTTAAGAATATGAAGGTGAATATGCATATTTTCCTTTACATTCATTTAATTACTGTTGCCGCAAACAAAGAGTGCGAAGCATCTGAGGACAAAATCAAATCAATGCAGCACCAAATGTAAGTAGAATTTTATACAATTTTTTCTAAGATTTAACTGTGATCATGGAAATTTTATTTTTCCTCTTTTTTGTACTCGGATTGTTCAGGAACCAATTATGGGATGATATCGGGAAACTGCAACTTGGAAAACCTGAACAGCTATATAATAATGAGGATCATAAAATGGTAAGAAGAAAAAGCCAAAAAGGGAAAAGAAAATAGTAAAAACAGAAAAAGAGATGTTATGCCACTAATGCGACGATCTAGGAAATTAAAGGGACTACAGGTTTGTAAAAATTGTAAAATTTTATACATCGTTTAAGTGTTTCAGAAATTGATAATATATGTATTCTTGGCTTCCCTTCTTTAAATTATAAAATTAACGGATATCAAGAAATCTTTTCACATGGTTTTAAAATAATTTCAACCAAGAAAATGTTTCATTTTCTACATTATTTAATTATAGTGGAAAGTACGGGTAAAAGTAAGTTTGAATTAAAAATGAAGTACATGTAATAATGGATATCACACTAAAGAGACAAACTCAGTTGCCAGAACTATACTTTAAGGAGTGAGTCTTTTCAGGTTTTTCTTTACGTATTTATCCTTTTAAATCCTGTATATATCCCTTTTTACAATGGTGCAACTTAAAATTGTAATTTTAAACTGGGAACTTCAGCTGTGACTATGTTTAGAAATAAGAAAACTCTTAATACATGATATGAAACATAGAAAAAGTAACTACAATTCTTTTAAAGATTTGGGTTATCCAGTAACTTTTTTTGAGCTTAATTATTTATCTTAGTATGATATTATTATCTGATAGACCTTATGAGGTATTTCCTTTTTTAGGCAAAAATACGAAAGAAAATAGAAAAAAAAAAAGAAAAACAATTATGACTTGATTGGTGACAGTAAATTTCTATCCTGATAAGTAAAACTAAATTATCTCAATCTTACCTTGCTACTACATGTAAATGATAATAGACAGTTGAATTGAATTTAATGAATTAAGGACATCACTTAGTAAAATGAGTAGTATTTTCTTTAATTTTTGAAAAAAAAAAATTTCCTTTTTGAATACAACAAGCATTCTGAGAGTATTGCATGAGCATTACTTGTCTCCTACCGGCAAATGTCATCTGCTTACTGTAAAAAAAAAATGAAAAAGGCCGTTATTCGTATAAAAAATATTAAAGCGGAACAAAATGCAAACTATATTTGTCATATATCAAGGTTAACACACGTACTAAAATATCAGCATAATATCTGCATTCATGTAACATAAATCTATATGTGTCAGATTGACTGTTAGACAGAGGAATAGCTAGACAGTTGGGCATACAGACAGACGGAGAGGAAACCTACTATCCGTGCGATTTCTGTGGTTGAAATATAAACAGAGGAAGTCCATCAAGAGTACTTTATATGCATATAATTATATAATCTTTGTGTTATCATTGCTGTTATTTCAGTCATCGAAAGATAAGAGACTTTTGCTGACCGACCAAAACGTTCTGCATAGTTTACAGACACGTCTACAGGAATTAGAAATTAAATTACAAGATATGCAAGACAAATATCGTTCGTTGGAGACTGGCCTTCATACAACAAGTAATTTTTTTTCAAAAATTTAATAGATTAGAACTCCTCCAACGGGGCTGATATTTTTCCCCAATTGTTTGCAGCGTGTTGCTTGAATATCATTCCATTTCTTGTACCTGAAGAAACTTTGAAGCAATTATCGATAATGATTAAATAAAAACCTTAATAACAATTAAAAAAAAAAAACAAGAAAAAAGCAAGGTCAACCAGAAATGAAATGTTGAAACTATTTACGAGCACACAGCAGGTGTGACCGGTATGCAGTGATGCCTAATCCTCAATGGCATCTGATCCTACCTCGATGTTTTTAAGGGTCCGTATTTGCTCTGCTCTCAATTGGGATTGTTCCAATGAACTTTGGAACTTGATTACTGTATTGTTTAGCTTAAATGTAAACTAAGGAGCAATTGTCTAATCTAAGAATTTATTTTTTTATTCTTCTTGCTAAGAATTGGGAAGAAGGATATTTTAATACTACAATCTATTTGTTCATTTTTCCTGCCTGTATATCTATCAGGTGCCATGGAGGAGTAAGCATCCCCTGTCAACAGCTCACAACTGCTTTCTGCTTTTTGTCATGATCGTAAAACGGAAAAATCAGTAGTCAATCAGTGTGTAAATAATGGCCTTACATTTATATGAATAACGTCCGTCAGCATTTAACTTTATGATAGATTGTATTTGCGGACAATGTCATTGTTTCGATCATACAAGTTGCGAAATGTTGACTTAAAACGACTATCAATAACCTTGTTTCATCAACTTGTTTATCCATAGCGCATAATCTTGCGTGTCGAATCAACTGGGAGACATTAACTTTATATGCCGGTGATAAGGGTATATTGCTAAATAAATAAGGAAAGCTGACGATAGAAAGGATTAAATCATCACGTTTCTCATTACGTTTTTTTTTGTTTTTTTTTTTTTTTGTTTGTTAGGTTACCATTAACTTTTTTCGAATATAATATCCAAGTATGAAACAGATGTATCGGACTCTTTCATTTCGAGTAGAAAGAGATGTATCGAATCAACAAAGGAATGAAACATGAATATCGTTAATTGGTAAAACTTTGTAGATACATCTAAAGGTTGAATTGAAAACCACAACAAGAGACTTTTTCTCTTCATGTAGAAGTTTTTGAACAAAATTTCTTTCTTTTGGATAGAAAAATAGTTCTGCTAATAACGACACACAATTTGTACCAATGGAAATTCTCACGAATTGTTGGAAATCATGATCTCCAAAAATTAGAAAGATACTGTCAATCAGAAAATCAAGCATCTTTTAAATATCAACTTTGGAGTACGTGTGTGTACAGCATAAAAATGACAGTACGATATATTTTTTAAAGCTTATTAAAATGAGGGGGAGGGGGGGGGACACACGGTGTCTGTGATAATGTTAAATATTTGAATATCCTTTTTGTACCAACTATCGAAACGTCTTTAAAATATGTAAAAAAAAAAAAAAAAAAAAGATATTAATTTTATAATAATTATCGTAGTGTCCAAACGTCACGGCTATAATGGGTACATGGTATGAGATCAAGTCCAATTAATAATTTTACAAAGAAAGCGCAGTATAACGAGATAATTTTATTACAAAAACAACACATTAGTTGACAAATAATTCTCTCGAAAGTGAAACATTTCTAATTACTTTACTTTCTACAAGTAAAGTCAGCAGTTTAACGAGAAAATTATCTTATAGACTGTTTCTGAGGAAAGACGGTTTCTCAATTTTAGGATGAGAATTCCATCTCTTTATCACTCTTTTATTGAATTTATTTATTCGAATATCGTTTCGTTATTCCATCGTCGGTCCATTCGACTGATAGTCGAATAGTCGACTATACGCTGACATCCCTAATATATATATATATAGATATAGATATAGATAGATAGATAGATAGATAGATAGATAGATAGATAGATAGATAGATAGATAGATAGATAGATAGATAGATAGATATGATTATTCAGGGAGTTTTATTCCCACAGGGGTAAAATTATTAATCTAAAAATATATTTGTTGTAGAAAAAAAGATATTCATATTTATCAAAAAATGTTGATATACGAACCTGGTTGTTTTTTTTCTGCTTGGGGTTAGGCATCCATGCATTTCCTGAAGATTCAAACCCTCGCTATCAATGAATTAAAACTGTTACATCTTCTTTCCATAAAATTAATACATTGAGATCTTGGCAAGGGAAAAGCAATGTAATGGTTAATTTTGTCTTCACACAGGTGGTGGTGCTATTTTTGTTCACTGGGGCAAACCAAGATGTCCAGACAACACATCTCTATTGGTATATTCAGGTAGGAGAAATGTTGCACTGCACATTAATTTGCAAGTCAACAAATATATGATACAGGAAACACCAGAAAGTTACTTATTCCTAAATTTAACATATTGTGGCTGAGATTGTTTACCTGTACATGTACATTGAATTAAATGATTTATAATCCGATTTTATTCACAACTTAAATATATAGATTCATAAAAAATCTGCATATGCAAAAAGTTAAAATTCAAATACATTGTTGTCCTATTGAGGTTATCTGGGAGGATCAGAATTCAACACAAAGGGATCAGCCGTAACCAATGTTTGCCTTTCCCCTGATCCAATATTTGGAAACTGGTCATTAATGGGTGACGTAAATCAGATGTATGGATCAGAACTGGATACCGATGTAGCTGGACCCGGAACAGGAACTCAAGACAATACATGTGCTGTTTGCAAAAGTAAGATCCACTCCACCGTTGTTATGATCCCAGGAAGAAACGAATGTTATCCGGGATGGAAGAAACAATATGGCGGATATCTTATGTCTGGTCCGATTGGGTATTCGCCTAAGGAAATCATTTGTTTAAATGAACATCCAGAGTTTGTTGTAGGAGGTGGAGATAATGATAACGGAAATCTTCTATTCGCAATCAAAGCTGTCTGTGGTTCGCTTGAGTGTCCACCTTATGTTAATGGAAAATTATTAACCTGTGTTGTATGCACACAGTGATGAAAAGAAATAACATTTCACATGTGTGATGAAATATGTCTAACAGGTTTTGTCAAATCGATTTTCAGCACTTAGGTTGTCTTTGTATTTTTTTCTCAATTTTTATAGGCCTATATACGTTCAAGATTATGTGTAACGTTTGAGATGTTCTGTAAAGAACTTAAAAGTCAAACTGTTGAAAGGTGAAAGTATTTTACATTCATGAATATCATGTAAGGTCATCAGTATCATGACCTTACACTTTTGCCCTTACTGATTAAAACAGGCATTCAGCACTATTTGACTGCAAGGGCTTTGGTACAATTTAAAAAAAAAAATACTGAAGTGGTATTTGTTTAACTTTGACGAGAAACATGTATGGGGCTAAATTCTTCGTGACTATAAATTGTCTTTCATCTGACATATACAATTTCATATATAGCTACATCTTTCGACAATAAATGCGCTATTGAATATACGTACAAATTTAAGAAAAGGTACATTATTTTCCCCGTCAAGGCGTGGACATGCTAGGGAAAAAAGGAAAATTGAGACAATTTAAGTAAAGTAGTTTGCAAGTACAGGTTGAAAAACCAGGTTTTTCAGATTCGGAAACCTGATACAGACATATTGAAACATCAATATTATCAAGGTTTCCTTGGTTTGGGAAACCCAATGGAATCGGAGCGTAATAGTTTCCGTACCATGGAAACTTGACGGAATTACTTGGCATCCGCAAGAGAAACCACTGGGAAAATAATAAAAACTCGAGGTTTACATGTGGTTTCCGTATAGTTTCCCATGATGGAAAATAGTTTTTTTCACAAAGTGGAGTTCTGTTTTGTTTGTTGAGGTTGTTGCATTGGTACAGCTTTTTGAGAGTAAAATATTGAGTTTAGAAAATCTTAATTGAACATAATAATCAAGTAAATTTGGAAGTTCCCTAGTGTTTAGAAAATATTTGAAGATATTAATACAGTTAATTACTTTGAAATGGAATTCTAACGAATTAACGTGTTGTTTTCGCTTTACCCTGATTTTATAGTTGAATCTTTCTATACTCCAATTAGTTATTACTATATAAAGAATTTTTAGTCCCCTACCGGTGAAACCGGAGGGGACTATAGGTTTCCTCTGAGCGTCTGTCTGTCTAGCTGTCTGTCCGTCTGTTCTTCTGTCTGTGTGTCAGTCTGTCAAACTTGGTTTTCCGCACTTTTTTTGTAACGCTTGCAGATATTGAGCTGATTTTTGGTATGTGAGTGAATCTTGATGTGTTACAGATCAAGTTTGCATTTCGTTCCGGTTCAATGATTTTTAACGGAATTACGACCTTTTCAGTTTTTCAGGGTTTTCCGCAATTTTTTTCTTAACGCTTGCAGATATTGAGCTGATTTTTGGTTTGAGACTTTACCTTGATGAGATAAAGATCAAGTTTGCATTTTGTCCCGCTTCGTTGATTTTTGACGGAATTGTGGCATTTTCAAATTTTAACGGGAACCAGATTACTTATGCCGGTAGGGGACTAGTATTGCTAATGCAATACTCTCAGAATGCTTGTTTAAATTGACTTGGGGATCATCAAATTCTAGAACTATTAAAATGTCCACCAATTTTTTTTTTTTCTTTTCGTAAAGAGGAGAAAAGAAGTTTGAAACTTAGCAGTGGACTAGTGTTTCCTTTGTCACCTTGTTCATGTTGTTTTTTGTTTTTAATCACGAACGTGCAAACGAAATTTCGCATCGTGTCAGTGCACACGTAAAGCTCATGTAGACCAAGTCAGACATTAAAGGACTTATCGCATGTTCTTTCAAAATTCATAATTTATGAAAAATATTATCTACAACTTTATTTTTCAAAATATTGAATACAATAAACATTGTTGAAAGCATATTTTAAGAGATATTGAGAGTTGAAATTCAAATACGGTGCATATTTCAGTCAGATTTTGGCGAAATACTGCTCTGTCGTCATAGGCGACAATTCAGTGATAAAAGATTAGAATATGCACACTATTTACGGAGTTATCAACGACAAATGCAGCTTAATTACGAAAAATGCTGAAAAAAATTAATCCTAACATGCATTAATGATTTTGATTACTATAGAAACATTAACTAGTTCTAAGATATAAGGCTTTTGAGATATCCTTTTTTTATTCCAAACATTTAGAACCTGTAGCTCTGATTACAGCACTGTTTATTTTTATTATTATTTTAAATTATTTTTTAAGACCGTCACGTTGCAATCACTGTTGAAATAACGACCACTATTGAAATAATTATTTCAATAGTGGTTGAGAGTGCATTTCAAAACCAAACCCAGGTTGCAACCACTATTGAAATAACGTTCATTATTGAAACAATGATTTCAATAGAGGCTTTGAATGCATTTCAATACCTTAGCCAGGTTGCACCTACTATTGAAATAATATTCATTTTTGAAATAAAGATTTAAATAGTGATTTAAATAATGATTTCAATAGTGATTGACACAATTTTTGTTGATTTGAATACCAAAACCACATTGCAAGCCTTATTGAAATAACCCCAATATTGAAAAAAAAATATAAGGAGAAAGAAGACATCTATGGGATATCTATGTGTACTGTCGTTTTAGCAGTTCCGAATTTTGATCAGTTCCGAATAATTAATAATTTAAGAGCTGATAATTAATAAGTTCAAAAGTGTAAAAATAAATTGATACATATGGTATGAGGGCTTATCTATGAGTGTTAGAATTATGTGAAGTTTTTATTTTTACCGTCAGTTTGTGTTCGCTATCGTACTTGAAACAGGCGACATACTTTTACAATGCAATAAATCTGAATCACCGCGATGCGTTTGTCTGCAGAAAAATGTCTGTAAAGACGTCAATTTTTCACATAAAAGTTTAACTATCAAAAGTAAGTTTCATATGTATTTTAACAAATACCAAAATCATGTCAAAAAGAAATAATTAGAATATTTTCTTGTTGTCATTTTACCAGTTCCGAATAACCATTTTAAACACTATATATTACGTTAGTTTTCTGTTATTTCTTCATTGTAAATGTGACTGTTATTTCTCTTTATCCTTTGGAAATATCACTCACGTACTGGTAAGCATTTATTTTAACTTTTCCTAAGCATGTCAATTAATAATTTGTGGGACGGGTATTTTTGATTTAGGGTCGAATTGCATGGGAACCGCTAAGGTATTCGGAACTCGTCGGCTTATTCTTAACTAGTAAAATGAGTTCACATGTTAACTTACTAAAATAAAAAGAAATTTGAAAGGTTGAACTTTTATGAAACAACATTTAATTCCGCAAGTCATTGAACTACTTTGACAAACAAAATAGATTTTGAAATAATGCCGTCATATATTAACAGCACCGCCTAATCGGTTCTTTATTCGCAATTGGTCAAACGCCTGTACAAATTTTGAGATGAAAATATGTTTATTTTAATCAAAGGAACATAGATAGAAGTAAATTCTGACTTATATTCATGGGATTGCCTACACTACAAATATGGATAGATAGAAAATCCAATGTCTCTACTCGTTAATACATCAAAATCAACCATTCGGGAAACTAAGTAAAGGCGTTAATACCTTAAGGGTTATTATATCAATAGTGGTTAAACGTATAAAACCGCTATTGAAATAATATCCACTTCTGAAATTATTTCTCCAGTAATTGTCGTTATTTCAATAGTGGGTGCATTGTTCCTAGCACTATTGAAATAACGACAACTATTGAAAAAATATTTCAATAGCAGATATCATTTCAGTAGCGGTAGTATTATTGCAACCGCTATTGAAATAAGGATCATGATCACTAATGAAATAATTATTTCAAAGCTGTCATTTTTTCAATAGCGGTTTTATACGTGTGACCACTATTGAAATAACACCCAGTATTATAATAATGTTTATACTAACTTCTGTGGAAGTTTTTTTTATTTTTAAATATCTTGACGAGCAGGCGTTGGATTTACTATCCATATTTGTAGTGTTGGTAAGCCCATTAATACGATCGAGTGTTTCGCTCCATTCTATATTCTTTTTTATCAAAAATAACCATATCAAAAAAAAATTTACAAATAGAAATCATTCTTCTTTCTCTTTTAAATGTAGAATTTCTAATTTCTACCACTATCTATATTTATGACCCTTTCCTTTTCAAATCAATGTCAAAGATGAACCTTATGAAACAAAATTACTAAAAACTTGCATATTTTGATTGATGTTCGTTTTCGCCATGTCAGCCAAATTCACTGGCAGCTTGCATATAACATTTGCATACTTTGTATGAATTATAGGTTGTCAGTTATATCAAAGATTTCCGTATGTTAATGGTAATTTCTAGAAAAGAAAGGGAAACATTAATTTGCACATCATATTTTAAACTCAAAAAATTAATTTATTATGTTGGAAAACGTAATGAACAAGTCATCCTTATATTTCTCTTTCAGTAGTGGGGTTATTAGGTCTTTCCACCTTTCTGTGGAAAGACCTATTGATTTTCTTCTGTTTATTATTATTATTATTATTATTATTATTCCGCTGATTTTTTGCTTCGAGGTTTATCGAAAAGATTTCTTAATCATCGTAAAGGTCATAAAAAGTTATGAACAAATTTGACCCAATACATATAACCTATGACCCCTTTCGTAGTTATTGCCCCTTTCGCAAGAATTGCTTGTTATCGCTACTCCTCCAAAACCGTAAACCCTAGAGTTACGAAACCTTCACCGATGTCTTCGACTACTTGAGAAGACATTTCAATCTTGGTATTGCGAAATGATAGATCGAGCACTTTGAAGAGTTATTGCCCCCTGAAAGTTTTTGTTCCTCACGAATAATGAAAAAAATTTAAACGATTAATCGTAGAGACACGAAACCAACTGCAATGGCTTTCTCATCATTTGACCTTCAAAATTTGTTCAAGGTCAAAGGTCAAGGTCACTCTGAGTATGAGAATTATAGCTCTTTTTATATCTCTTTTGTCTTACAACATATATTACATAACATTAAATACATCATATGTCCTTTTAAAACTATTTTCAGATTTCACTTTTCAACCCCTAAGCCTGACGCATTAAAAAGTTCTTGCCCCTTGTGCGAAAAACCTTGTTATCGCTACTCCTCCGAAACCATTGACCATAGAGATGCGAAACCTTCGACAGTGTCTTCGACTACTTTAGGGACTTTTACCTTGAAATTTAGGTCAAGGTCAAAGGTCAAGGTCATTCAAAACATGAAAAAGTCAGTGCTTTTGATGTCTCTTTCATCTTATTAGGGCTTTCCACCTTTCTGTGGAAAGTCCTATTGAAATTGTTCTGTTTATTATTATTATTATTTCTCCGCCTTGTGTTTTTGAGTTTCAAGATTTATCGAAAAGACTCATGGTTCATAAGAATGTACTTGGTAAAAGATTTATGCAGTTGACCCTGCGTATATGAACTTTGAACCCTCGAGGAGTTATAACCCCTTTCGCAATAAATCCTTGTTATCGCTACTCCTCCGAAACCGTAAACCCTAGAGTTACGCAACCTTCACCGATGTCTTCCACTACTTGAGAAGACTTTTCAATTTTGGTATTGCGAATTGATAGATCGAGCACTTTGAAGAGTTATTGCCCCCTGAAAGTTTTTGTTCCTCACGAATAATGAAAAAATTTTAAACGATAAATCGTAGAGACACGAAACCAACTGCATTGGATTCTTCATCATCTGGCCTTCAAAATCTGTTCAAGGTCAAAGGTCAAGGTCACTCTAAATATGAGAAATATAGCTCTTTTTATATCTCTTTTGTCTTACAACATATATTACATAACATTAAATACATCATATGTCCTTTTAAAACTATTTTCAGATTTCACTTTTCAACCCCTAAGCCTGACGCATTAAAAAGTTCTTGCCCCTTGTGCGAAAAACCTTGTTATCGCTACTCCTCCAAAACCATTGACCGTAGAGACGCGAAACCTTCGACAGTGTCTTCGACTACTTTAGGGACTTTGACCTTAAAATTTAGGTCAAGGTCAAAGGTCAAGGTCATCCAAAATACGAGAAATACAGAATATATGAAAGGGGGGGTGTTAAACCAATATAAATGTATGAAATAAACTATTCCACGCTTTAATTATCTTGTTTTCTTTTTAAAATGCATGTAGATCATTTTATTTATCATAGCTGCATTTAATATAACCCACATGGAAGCTTGTTTCATTCAGGAATCTTCTTACTGAGCCTGCAACAATCTTAGGATCCGCAGTCAGGTCGCTTTGAGTCCAGTCCATGTTTTCCTATATGACGACCTACATACCATTAGCCTCGAGTCCGATTTATTTCATCGGTACTTTTCTAAGTAGTTTAACTAAATCAGAACATTAAACACCTCAAATTAAACCTTCGAATGCACAGTGCACAAAAATAGAATTACGATATGCACAGTAAAACAAATGTCATGCATGCATTGTACTTCCATGGTAACTATGTAAACAAATGCCATCAACACGGAAGCAAAAAGAAAAAAGGAGAGAGAGAGAGAGAGAGAGAGAGAGAGAGAGAGAGAGAGAGAGAGAAAGGAAGAGAGAAGAGAAAGGAAGAGAGAAGGGGAAAGAGAGAAAAATTGGCCCCTAAATCGCAAAAAAAAAAAAAAAAAAAAAAACCATCTTTTTTTGGAGATGCGCTAAGACCTTTTGAACTCTACAGAGAAACGAGCCCGACAATAAATGTACAGCAAAATACGATTTTTTTTTGATTTTTTATTTATTTTCTTGCTTTTTTCTTCTTCTTCTTCTTTCTTTCTTTCTTTCTTCTGTTCTTTTGAAAGCCAAATGATATGGAAACATGTTTCTCAAAACTATTCAATTCAGATAACTACGTTGTACAACAATTTTTTATTCTTAAATAGGTAGTTTACTGCATACATCTTCATCGGAATTGGTGGCGTAGTGGTTAGCGCGCCTGCCTTTCAAGCTAAGGGTTCCGAGTTCGATCCCTGCTGAAAGAACATTTTTTTTTTTTTTTTTTTTTTTTTTTTTGCAGTTTTCTTCTTTTTTTTACAGCCCAAATTACATAGAAACACTTAAAAAGGTGGAAAGACCTCTAATTGTTCTGTGAACAATTAGTCTACTAGTTTCAATAAGGCTTGCAATATGGTTTTGGTATTGAAATCATTGTCAACAGCTATAAATTAATTATTTCAAACACTATTGAAATCATTATTTTAATCACTATTGAAGTCTTTATTAATTTTCAAAAGTGAACATTATTTAAATAGTGGTTGCAACCTGGTTTAAGTTTTGAAAACATTAAAAGCCTATTTTGAAATAATTGTTTCAATAGTTATTTCAATAGTAGTTGCAACCTGTGTTCGGTTTTGAGAGGCATTTTCAACCACTATTGAAATAATTATTTAAATGGTGGTTGCAACCAGTTTTTGGTTTTGAAATGCACTTTCAACCACTAATGAAATAATTATTTCAATAAGAAACGTTATTTTAAAAGTGGTTACAACTTGTGTTTAGTTTTGAAATGCACTCTCAACCACTATTGAAATAATTATTTCAATAGTGGTCGTTATTTCAATAGTGGTTGCAACACCGCCATCCTTTACATAACATATGTAAATTAATGTTATGTTTAAAACGAAGAATAACAAAGTTATATAGTATTAAATTTGTAAATCAAATAAGTTAATACATGTGATAAGATGACAAATCATATTGTATTGTGATGACGAATTTCTTCGTCTTCGCCGTGTCTCCCTCGCTATCGTCGCTGCTTTTTCTTCACAATGTTAACAGATTTTTCAGATTTTTTTTCTTGCTGACAATTGTAAAATATAAGGCTGGATATTCAATTTCATATTGATAAAATCAGTGATTTGGTCGTCCACAATGCCGAAAATTCAGTTTCTATCGCGTATATTTTAGTAAGATTGACGTGAAGAGCTGATCAGTCATTGTCGCCTTTGACGTCACAGGGTCACGTGATCGCTATCTAATTAACTTAGATTTTTAATTCAGGGGTTTTCATTTGAGTCAATAATTGGTGCATTACCGCGGTTTATCCGTAGTAAAAACTCAAAATTTATAAACTGTGGTCATAACGGACGTTTTACGCTTTTAATTTCAAATAATTTAGAAACATGCGATGTCCTTTAGGGTAATTTTTTAGCTTTAGAAAATCGACATTAATTTTGTGAAACGCAGTCAATTGAACGGGTGAAGTGATCAATTATTCTCACTTATTAAAGATACTGTCTAGAGGTTAATTGTACGGACGAGTATAAAATGTAAATCGTGTAAACAATCCTTGATATTTTTATATTTTAAAAGAATATTTCATGAGATTCATGTTTCTTTAAAAGAAATGATCGATAAAAAATTTAATACGAGTTTTACCATCATCACAAACCACATCCAAAAGGTAAATCCTCTCCCATTCTGGCTTATAGGAGAGAGAGCTGTATCAGGACAGTGGATTGAGACGATGGAGTTTTTTACGCATGCTCACGTTTAAAGATTTGGTCTTTTGCTGACTTATATTTCTTATTGATTTTTTTTTCTTTACGATTGCAATAGACACCTCTCCCGTGCTACCAAAATGGGTCTGTATATTGACTTATATCAACTTTTAATGTTGACGCCTAAGAAGAATTTGCCTGGCGACTAAAAATTTGCATTGGGGACTAATTATTTTTTGATTAAAAGCCAGCTGGCGTCTAAATTTTAAACGTAAATTAGAGGCCTGTAAAGTGTATAAAATTGTATGGTCCCACCTCAATCTTCTGTAAGTACATGTAGTTTCGTAAGAGAGGAGATATATTCTCCTGATGAATTATCTTTTGCTTTTGACGAAAGTGCCACGACATTATTATAGCAAAGACAGACATGATAACACAGTTTGCAGCAATGTGCCAGGTAAACTTCAGAGCAACCAACATCAATGCAGCGTGATCGTCTGGTTTCCATACGGCCTGAAAGGAAAACTGTGGATAGAGTATGAATGCCAATTGCCAGTACCAAGTTCCTTGAAAGAGAAACCCAAAACATTTCGTCATTGCACACACAATATTATTGCGATATATTATTTCCAATGCTATCCCCGTCATGTTGATCAGAATTGCATAGACAAGCAAAGTGTGCAAGAAAACATCCAGCTCATTTCGGCCATGTAGATGATATCTGAACAAAAATGCGTTCATTCCAAGGTTTAATAACTGTGAAATGTAATCTGCATTTTTGGAAGAGAGACCCTATAAAACATTAATAAATCTATAACAGCACTTTGTCCGAAAAATGCGTATAAGGTCACGTGATGTTGATTGTTCATTCGGAACGGCTTTGATTTTATTAATGAATCAAGCACTTCCACAATAATTCCAGTTGAAATCATAATCAATCTCAATATTGGTTCCAGTGGTATTTTCTGTATTTTCCAAGGTAAAAAGAAAAATGGATATTATTATATAGTCTATTTATAGTCCGTATATAATCTATACAAACGCAAACGGTTCATAACACTACATATTCACTGCTTTTGAAGCCGTATTCACCGGAGGGTCGGTGCGCGTGCAGCGGCATTGTGACGTCACAATCAACACCTCAAACAACGTTGTAAACAATGGTTGCAACGGCCGGAGCCAGCTGTGTATCTGAGCAGGAAAAACATTGGCCAAGCCTATCGCAGGATTATTTTCTAAACATTTCGATGTCTTACAAACAGCAAAAGGAAAACACGGAAGCTATAACTTGTAATCTGGACATTTTTTTTTATTTTTCCACGACAGAAGTTCGTAAATGAAAGTGGTATCATCATGCAGCCTTCAATTTCTTAATTCAAATCCGGACTATATAATAAAACAATTATGGACTCTTTCGGTGGTGAATATGGTTTGTTATTCACCAGAAAAATATCAATATTGACCTCGGCTTCGCCTCGGTCAATATTGATATTTTTCTGGTGAATAACAAACCATATTCACCACCGAAAGGGTCCATAATTGTATAATATAGCGAAGATTTAAATTGTACTCTGCGCTGCTTTGCATCGAAATATTTATGAAGAGTGGATATTGTGTACCAGATTCCTACATATATCAGAAACGATCCGGGAATAACATGTCCACCAAATGTTCCCATTCTTGAATCTGTCTGAAAAATTAAACATTTTGATTCTTATCATATTCAATTTAAAAAAAACCAGTCGATTAAAAAAGAAGAAAAAGATAACATTCACTTTAAAATGCCGAGTTCTTAATCTTAAACTGTGAGAGTTATTTATGTCACATTCCAATGACATAATTTTATCAAATCTGAACTTTGCAATGTAAATTTATGTCAGTATATGAGCCAAATAGAAACTAACATATAGAAAACTAAAAACAAACAAACAAACAAACAAAAACACCCCCCCCCCCCAATAAAAATCAGTCTCCAGAAATCTGACTTAATGAACATGTGAGCTATTAACATATCTGTTTGTTTAACAGTGTCATTTGTTTGTGTGTTTTTTTTATTATGTTATTATATACTTTATTTGTTTGATCTTTGTTTCGGGGGGTGGGGTGTCCCTGTGTTTGACCTGTTTTTATTTGCTTGTTTCTCTATATAGATTATCTTCTCTACACTAAGTTACTTAATGACATTTGATATCATTTCCACCGTGAAGGGTAAAAAATTTGCTTCACTTACTATTCAGGCCCATAAAACGCGGGGGGGGGGGGGGTGAACCCGCCCCCCTTTTTCTGAGTATAGAAATATTAAATTTTCCTTTAGATGCTGGTTCTCCAACCCCAGTCCCCCAACCTTTTTTTTTTTTTTGATGTTGCAAGGTCGAGTCGAGCACTGGCAAATTCAAGGATTTGGACGGTAAATTACTCCTCTTTTTTGCTTGTCAGATTTTTTTTTTGGGGGGGGGGGGGGCTTTGGCGAGTTATACCCCTCTCACTTTTTGGAGGAACATACTTCGATTTTTAATTTCGAACATTTGAAGAGTTTTGACGGCTCCAGGTGATCAATCTGATCGTCACAGAATTATTTACTAGGTTCATGTGTAACTACTCCCCTTTAATTAGATAATCATTGCTAAAATTTTAAAACCTATTATGCAAATCATATTTTAAGGGACACACTTAAAAATCAAAGTTTTGTTTGTTTGTATGTTTGTTTGTTTGTTTGTTTGTTTGTTTTTTTTGGTTACCTGTCAGAACACTTACATATAACATACCATATTTACATGTCACTTACACCCTTTTATTCATAGATGGTTTTCTGTCGAGGTGTTTTAAGCAAGAGTTATTTCCCCATGGCCGCCATATTCTAGGTCAACATCCCCAGATCCCTTCATTATTCAACCAAGTTCAATTTGTTATACTAGGCACTGAGGTGAAGATAAGTTTTTTCTTACGAATATACATTTTAAAAGCCTCATTTAATTCTAATTTCAATATTGTAAACATTTCCCCCCATATATTTCTGGCATGCATATTTAAAATTGGTTGCTCAAAGAGGAAAATTCACTACTTTGACCTACAAGATGGCGGCCAAGGGGAATAACTCTGAGGCAAAACACTTCATAGGAAAACTATCTATAAGAGAGAGATGGAACTTAAAGTATAGATAGCACGCTATCGTTTCGTTATAAAAAAAAATATCCCTTTTCTCAATGGACAAGGAATATAGTTCATATACAACATTACATTTATTATGTGTATTTATATGTATTATGGAAAGGAGAATTTTTATTAAAGAGGCGAATGATTGTGTGTGGCTCGTACTTACCTTAGATTTACGAAGGCTACTGCAAATTGTTAAGCTCACTTGCATCACACTGGAAAGAATGTACGAACTTATAGCAAACACATATTGATAGTACATGTAATATAACCCTGTGATGAGAGAAAGAAAAATTACATGATTCAGTTTAGACTATTTCAAACAAAAGTAATCAGAAATTTTACTCACCTAAAAATTGGCAAACGTTTCAGTTAACCGTGCGTTAATTAAACTTTAATGGCATTATGAAACTACACTATGCTTTTCAGAGGAAACAAATATAATGGATTGTTGCACATTTGTACTTACATTTATACATTCCTATTTAAACATTTAAATACATCCGGAACTTGCCATGGTGAACCTAAGCGTTTATATCCGTGTGGCCAGTGATGTTGCTTTGATCTACCTGTGTATGCATAGGCGGATCCAATGAGGGGGATGGAGCAGTTCCAGCGAATTATCGGTTTATTAAATCGACAAGATCTAGGCCCAAGGGATCAATTTCAGTTTTTTTTTAATTTTGTTTTTGTTTGTTATTGTTTTTGCTTGTTTGTTTGTTTGTTTTTGTTTTGTTTTGTTTTGTTCGGGGGGGGGGGGGTTGCACAGCCAAACATTTTCAGTGAGAAAGGGTGGCACCAGCTATACTATACATGTAGCCATACCGACAAAAATATCGGGGGAGGCACGCCCCCTCCCCTCCCGCGTTCCATGAGAGCCATGAGATATAAAACTATTCAAATTAAAAAATAATTTGATTAAACTTTTTATTAGAATCTCATGAATACTACTCTTTTTTTTTTTCTTTTTCATGTTGCCAGACTTCTCTTTAGTAATTTCATAGACTATGGGCCGAAAAAACCCTTGCTTACTTGTTTACCCCCCTCCTCCTTCGAAAAAAAACTAATTCAGTTATAAAATGCCTAGCTTTGTATTCATTCATCAATTTCAACTCAAAAGAGTGTAAAAATATTAAGTTTAAATTATGTGACAACAGACTAAAGTTACTGTTGAAACATAACTTGTGTGTACCTTTTGTTTTATGTGGACGCTTTGTAACGAAGTTAAAATATTCACCAAAATATTCAACCAAAACTTCTAATTTTCCTTCATTCATTCCACGCTCGTAGAGAAACTTCCTCGACCGTTATAACATGTATATAATATCATTGTTTTAACTAATAAGTCAACAAAAAAGGCGAATCACTAAATCGCTACGCTGCATAGGCAATTTTAAAAATATTTCGATTATTGGGAGAGAGAGAGAGAGAGAGAGAGAGAGAGAGAGAGAGAGTAAATGCTCGAATTATTACCATTTATGTTTGTTTCTTGTGATATGAGAGTAGAAATAAAAAAATATTTTACAGTGTACATGTACATTAATTAATTGATAATAATTGTATATAATCATATTATACATTGAAACCCCTTGTTTACAAACCACTCTCAGCATTTAAATTCCGATTCATTTATTTAGTTTTGTTTGTTTGTTGTTTGTTTTTTTTTTCTTTATTCGTTTGTTTTTTGTTTGTTTGTTTGTTTGTTTTTCTTTTTTTTTGGTTTAGTTTTTAGTTTTTTTTATGATTGTATTAAAGTCATAATCTCATTTACTGGAAATTATAATCATGTTATACTTATAATTCAAAACCATGAGAACCTCGCAAGCTCATTCAGCTTTATAGCGGAAACCTTGTTCGGGAGAATTCGTTTCTTTTTTTCTTTTTCAATCGTAAACAAATTCATCGATCGCATTGTGTGTGAGATATGACGCACTTATCTTTATATTTTTAATATTATGTTATCAAATAATCTAGGTCCATGAGACACAAGTATGTACTAAATACATACATGTACATATGTTAATATATTTTGAATCTCATGTTCATGTACAGTGTACATTATATGAAATATATAAATTATAACGTTGTGAAATATAATTACACGTTTATGATCAGGAAATTGGAATGCAAACTTGTAAATGTCACGTCTCGTTTAGTTACCAAAAACCCACACACAGAAATTAAATCACATCATTTACCGATTTCATTAACCTTACTTCAGGAAATAATTTATTACAGGTTTGTTTATTCACGTTTTCTTAAGCAAAATATTTAATCCGGAGTAACTTCCTGTCATGCGAAATAAATAAACATCCGTATTTGTTAGGTCCGTGTGACGGTACATATTGTCGTTTTGTACATATTGTCGTCGGCGACAATATGTACTTACCCTCACTGCACATATTGTCGTCCATCTGTACATATTGTCGCCGACTGAAAAGTTACATATGTACATATTGTCGCTGGCGACATTATGTGCCTCACCCTCACTGTACATATTGTCGCCCCAAAGATATTGTTGTTTAAAGATGTCTTTTGCTGTTTTTTGGTAGTTTTGTGAATGTCATTGGTGTGAGAATCACACTGACGTGTCTCGTTTGCTATTTCATGCAGCATGATTGTGACGGTACATTTTGTCGTCCTGTTCATATTGTCGCCGGTGACAATGTGTACCTTCCCTCACTGCGCATATTGTCGTCCATCAGTGTTATTGTATATGTTAACTTTATTATTAAATTATGAAATTTTACCTGTGGAATAAGTATATAGTATATACAAGTTAAACAAACAGAATTTACCAAAGCAAAAAAAAAAAAAAATCAAACCACCAAGCGAGGGGGGGGGGGGGTGCTACATCTGTCTTTGGTGTTTGAGAAAATTTCTAAAGATTTTCTGTATATATTCCTATGTAAAATTTTGTTTTTGTTTGTTTGTTTGTTGTAAAAATGTGTTCTTGAAAAGAAGCTGAAATTATGAATAGTTAACAGACAGACGGACGGTCAGACAAAATGTGATCAGTAAAGCTCACTTGAACTTCCAGTTCAGGTGATCTAAAAATGTTATTTTTTGCGTTATTCTTATATTATGATTAACAATAAATTATATTTATAATATTATATCGGCATATGATCGTATATAAGAATAATTTCCAAATAATATTACTACTGAACAAAAAAAATTACCTGTATTCAATCTCCAATTATATATTACAAGAAAAAAAGACTAGCTGATTTATCAGATATTTCAAGAATTACGGTATCTTGATATTTCACAGTGATGTACATCAATCCTGGACACATTTTCTGACCAAAAAGTTTTCTCCCTACCGTATTGCGAGTAATGCTGTCTGTCCCCCTCCGTGCGTGTGTCTGTTCGTCAATTTCTCTTTCTTTTCTCAAGTAAATATTCGTCAAAACAATGTATAGACGACAATATATACCGACCTTGACTGTACATATTGTCGCCGACGACAATATGTGCTGGTGCTTGACTGTACATTTTGTCGTCCATTAAGCAGGAAGAAACTAAGGCTCGTCTCGGTACATATTGTCGCCGGCGACAATATGTACCGATGGACGACAATATGTGCAGTGAGGGTAGGTACATATTGTCGCCGACGACAATATGTACAAAACGACAATATGTACCGTCACAGGTCCGTGATCTGATGTTGTATAAAAGTAATTTATATGATGTATTTGTGTACGATAAGGATTACCCATGAATTTAAGATGACCAATTGTTTACACTACAATTTAAAGCAAAAATGATCATTTATATATTAGTAAATGTTTCAAAATGTGAGAAATATTTCGACCCTCCCCCACAATCTTGTTTCTTTTGTTTGTTAGCTATTTTAAAGGGTCATTTATATTTAATATTCGACAGAGTTTATGCTAAATGGACAACATTCGTTTTTCACTGTATTTAGGTCGTCAGATAAATTCTAGATGTGACTCTTACATATACATGCATATACATACATATATCAATAAAACCTTTTGTTTCACTTTTTGTCTTCATTTAATAATCTTTATCCTACAACTACCTCTTGCATTGACCTAATAAAGGTAACCTAATAATCCAAAGCTTTATTCGGTCAATTCCCTAACAAAACCTCGTGCATGTATTCCGACTTTTAAAAGTATTGTCACGTCATACACATTACAATGTTTACACCGTGAAGTCTTAGTTTCAACTGCAGAGATGTACCCAAATCGGTTGAAAATGAGGTCTGATGTAAAATTATATTGCAGGATAAACAAAATACATGGATATTATCTTGAAATATAAGCAATATTTTGGGCTCGGTTCGAAAACGTGATAGAGGGCTCGGCAAGCTCCGCCCTCTATCACGTTTTCTTACCCTCGCCCAAATATCGCTCATATTTTAAGACAGTAACCTTGTTTTTTATATGAATCTATCGTTTGTGTAATTTTTCAAAGATTTTTTTTTTTTTTTTTCAGCCACAGGGAGAAGAATGAATATATGTTTAAAATACAGGTTATATTAAAAACATTTCATGTAAATAAAAAATTGAAAATTATTTGTCATCATCTATGTTATTTTAGCTAATGTGGAAATCAAAGTTAAATACTCGTAATAATATTTTTCCATTTTCAGATAGAAATCTTGTTTTGGTCAGAGACAATCTTTACCCTAAAGCTCAACTTTTTTGGACTTTGAAAAAATGATTTTGTTTCGCATGAGGATGAAAATATTGATTTTATTTATTTCATTTCAACATATGAGGAAACCTGGCATTTACTCCCAGGAAAATATTCAAAGCGAATGAGGTAGGAATCAACAGAAATCACTGTTTATTCAATTCAAGTGGAGAAAATGCATTCAAATATAAAGTGTTCACCTAACTTATCTAGACCTTTTGAAAAAAATGAGAATGTTTAAATTTAATTACAAATTAAGCTATATTTTGTAATATTTTATTTCTTTTATTATAAAAATAAAATCAGAATACTCCAACTGCCTAAAAACGCCACAGAATTATAACTGTTTAGTATGCAGTGTATAGAGGATTCTTACTGACAAAAAAGACAACTGCCTCAATAAAAATGGAACTCGGAAACTTTCTTATCTTGTGATTGATCATCAACAAAATTACTTTGTTAAAAATCATTCTGATTCTACAATACTCTGAAATTGATTTAAGAAATGAATGTAATATTTTTTTCTTTGACCGACGTATCAAAGAAAAAATTTGGACGGAAAACGTCATCAATGCGCGTAGCGAATTGATGAAAACGTTTTCTGTCCAAATTTTTTCTTTGATACGTCGGTCAAAGAAAAAAATATTACTTTCATTTCTTATCATTTAATTATATGATTTTAAAATAATAAAATGAAACTTTCCTTCAGCTTGCTATTAAATTTACGCATCAAAAACAGTGCGTAGGAATATATCAGAACAATGTTGCTGAAATTCAAAATGGCTATCTAGGCCTAACGAAGAAAAAACGTTCTCAAATATTGTCGTGTCACTACCAACCTTTTCTAACAATGATTAACAGTTCTTTAACACAAAAAACTTACCTGTTGTGTTATCATTTTTTTGCTATATCCCAATGGGTATATTTCCCCCGGTAACCTATCTAGGTTCGTAAATTTAAAGGGATGCTACTCGGATATCTTAACAGCTCTTTCTATATGTCACAGAAATTTTGGATTTCATTTGCGCATCTCTTCATCTGAATTTCAAACCGAACATATAAATATGAATCACAACCTGTCCATGCTGTAAAATCTGAAAGAGTTTGTTGCCTACTGTTTAACATTGAAAGAATTCCGTCCTCATTCATGCAGTGTCGTTTTTCTCGATCATTCGGTTCCTAACGGCATTTTCCCGCTTTTGTAGCATGAAAACATTTTTGTCATACCAGTTATCTCAAAGTCAAACATTTAACATAGGTATGCTGATTTCTTTCCTTCTTTCCCATTACTGTATTGTTGTCATGCAGACGATCTGATTTGTTTAGCAAAGGGGGGTAATTCAAAAAGAAACGAAAGTAGAAAATAAGTCAGGAACGCAACGGACAAGTTTCGAAATTCAGGAAAATATCTATTAGAGAAAAAGTATTTAATTGATCCTTCATGAACTTCTGGAAGCGGGAAATATACATGTAAAGACAGACAAAGTAGTTCCGGCTGCTAAGTGCAAGCGAACTCCAAATTCTATTGATGCAGTTATCAAAAGAATTTTTTATCCAATCAGAATCAATTATTTTATAGAAATTAAATGATATTGAAAGGATATTCGAGTTCCCCATTGACAACAAACTGTTGAAAATCCGCTGGGTACTAATTGTGCTCCTTTATTAGCCGACTTGTTTTTATATTCCTATGAACCAGAATTTATTCAAAAACTTCTACATGAGAAGAAGCAAACACTTACCGTGGCCTTCAACTTGACATTCAGACATATCGACAACGTTTTATCAATTAACAAGAGCTACTTCCATTCATATGTCGACTCGATATGTCCCAGTGAACTTAAAATAAAAGACACCACAGAGTTTGCCAAATCATATTTGGGTGTTTCAATGACTATAGACGATAAGGGCCAACTAAGAACTAAATTGTATTACAAACGAGATGTATCAGCTTTTCCATATTCAACTTTCCTGATTTATGTAGTAATATTCCGCTATCAACTGCATATGGTGTTTATAATTATGTCTCCCAACTTACACTCAAGAGCATGCTCTGACTTCGACCAATTTATAAAACGAGGGAGGCTACTGAAATATAAGTTGATGTTACAGGAATTTCAATAACCTCTTTTAAAGTCAGCATTTCGTAGATTCTACTGTCATTATAATGACCTTGTTAACAAATATAACCTATCACTTGGTCGTATTTCGGTTGATGTGTTTCATACTAATTGTTAGGCATTTGTTTTATACTAAATTTGACTATGGAATGTTCCGTCTACCTAATTAAAACAAAGGGCTCAAGGCGGGTGTGGCCGGTCGAAAGAGGAAGCTTACTCTTCCTAGGCACCTCATTCCACCTTTCGCTATAGTGATAACTTTGAAAACTTTGATTTACTATAGTGATCCCTATGAACTATAGTTATAATTATGAAAACTTTAATTTACTATAGTGATAACTTTGAAACTTTGATTTACCATAGTTAACTACAGTAAACTATAGTTTACTATTGTTTACTATATAGTATATTTTTTTGTTAGGGAAGTAACAAGAGGTTGTGAAGAGGACTTAACATTGTAAATGGTCATCGTGTCGAATCTGCAAACTAAATAGAAACAAGGTCAATAGTGTAACTTTATACGAAGCACTGGAAATGTACCCCTTAATATGACCAATGGCACGAACAATAGAAGTTGTCAAATTTCTGGGAAGCCCTTTCCCTTCCTAAAAACTATGAAAAGATAAGAAAGTCATAAAAAAGGAAAACACAAAAAAGGAGAAAACAACTAGCAGTAAAACTTGCATGTAACTATACCACATCCTACATATTTAAAATTTACGTGTTTAATTTGAAAGTTGAAAACCAATGGCTTTGAAATAAATCCGGGCCTCCATGAAATATGTCCTTCCATTCGTCATCATGCAGAATAAAACTAATAATGGCATTTTAGTTGTTTATTTTTCTCATTTTATTTGAACGTGTTTATAATTTTTTTCGTAAAAGATTGAACAAATGCTAACATATTTCTACATGAAATCTTTGAATTCGTCATTTTACTTTTGCTGAGAGAAATCTCATAAATGTACGGGTATCTAAATCTGTAAACAATTGTTGACATTTCAATGCAGGCTTTCGGCAAATTCCACCTGACGCTCACTTATTCCTGATCTACCCTTTATTTAGTAACTACAAAGATTGATCGCATAAAATCCCATTTATTTTCTGGGGGAAGTTTCAGAAATGTGAGTGTAAGTTTCGGTTTGCTACTCTACGTGTTTTTGTATAATGTGTGGCAGTATAAGTATTATTATCATATGTTTATCAATAGAATGTAGAAGACAGCAGAGACAGAAGCATTTTGATCCGAATATGCTAGAATAAGCATGTTAATTGCCAGGGTAATTAGCAAATAAATTACTAGATACAGTGATATACTACAATTATTTTTCTGCCTGTGATCAAATACTTCAGCGATTGCGCAATGCTAATTCATCGCACATGTTCATACGTATATTTAGTTAGCTATAGAAATAATTTCGTTAGATAACTAATACAATTGTATTCATGGGTTCATAGATCTTCCTTATTTTATATATCGTCAAAAATAAGAATATAAAGCATTCTCGTTTGAAATTGCAAAATGCAATATCTACAACCATTTTTGGTATTCTTGTTTGATAAAAAAAGAATTTAAAATGCTTGATTAAATAGAATCTTTGGATTTCCTGATTTAGGAGACATATCTCTCTAGCCATTCCAATATGTCAAATGTTACCTGTAAAGTATATGGGATATACTAAATAGAGAAAGTTTGGTAGGGTGTTTATTGTATAGAGAAATCAAAATGAAGAAACTGATGTCATAACTTATATTGTAAATAAAAACAACACTCAAAATGTTATAGATGTGCTGAAAAACATGGGAAATAATTTGAGAATGAGGGGATGGCAACTTGTGACAGAACAAGAGGTGTAAGGTTTTAAGAAGTAATTAAAAATTTTAATTAAGAATTTTCTAAGAACATTACTAAGATATCTTATATTAGATCCATTATATTATATGTGAACCCTCCAGGTAAATGGTGAGCCTTGGGACATTGAAATGAAGCTGTATTTACGTAATATGACCAGTTTCATGATTTTTTTTTTTTTTTTTTTTTTTTTTTCAAAGAATGAAATACATGTTAGCCTTTAACTTATTTTAACCATTATAGATATCGATTACATTAGAAAAGCATTCAGTCTGACTAGTGTTCATTTTAATTTCTTAAGAAAAGTCAAGTTTTTTTTTCTATATAAATATGAACTAGATTAAAGACTAAGAATCTCTAAAGTCTACATGTGAGGTCTTAATTCAGGTTTTTTAATTACAAACAGATATTTTCTCTTTTTTATGTTGACAAACATCGGCTGGAACAAAAGATTTTCTTTGCCATAAACATGTCTGGTTTTAAAATGAATGGGAAAAGCAATAAACGTATGATCTATTATTTAACTGATCCTAGTTTTATTTCTTGAAGTGAAAGTTAGATTGATGTCAGAGTATCGAATTGAAGGACTTTCTAACGGTAAACAATAACAATTAAAGGAGAAGAAAAATAATCAAAAAGTAATTTTCTAAATAAAAAAAAAGTCCTTGTAAAAAATGCACATTTTCTATAATGTTTTACTTCTATGACGAGGACCGTTCACGGTAGCTCAGTCGGTAGAGCGCTCGCTCCGTGATCGGGAGGTCGTGTGTTCGAATCTCGGCCGCGACAGACCTAAGTCGATAAAAAATAGGTAGCAACTGTTCCTTCGCCATGCGCTCGGCACTTTGGAGTGAAAGTTGCGGGTCTTTCGGATGAGACCTTAAAAACCGAGGCCCCGTGTCACGGCAGGCGTTGGCACGATAAAGATCCCTCACTGCTCAATGGCCCTGAGTGCCGAGTAAAGGTCAAAATTTGAAGCCCTTCACCGGTATATGGTGACGTCTCTATATGAGTGAAAAATTCTCGAATGGGACGTAAAACAATATACAATCAATCAATCAATCAATCTATGACGAGGAAGTATAGATCGCTCCTGTACAATCAAGTACATACTAATTTTCATCTACGAAAGACATACATGTGTATACTTTAATTTAAGAATATCTTTTTTTTTAAATGTTTAAGTATTTGTTACCTTTATATTTAACACAGATGTTTGTATAACTCAGAGGAAATACTGGTGTTTGACTTTATAACTTATTCTCCACGAAGAAAAATATAGACTTATTAACGTTAATATTATTGAAAGTCGGATACCTGAAATGAGTTTATTCATGTATACAATATGCATCCCAGTATTTAAGTTAATTGAATGGAATGTGGATGACATACAGGGCCATGAAGGCAAAAGTAGAAAAAGAAGGATGGAATGCTGTCAATTTGGCCAGACAGAAGAATAAGATACGCTGTGACTGTATGAAATACACGCAGCATAAAATTTCATCGCAGGATATATTGCTTTTCAATGAAAAAGCATTATATGAGATAAATGATTACATGAAAACGTTATCAAGTTCTGTGTAACACTAACATTTGTAATATGGGACATGTTGTTTCGTTGTTTGATTTACATTGAAATAAAGTAATCCTTCTCAGTATAAAATACAGATATTGATCACCCGAAAAAAGTCATAACGATGGTAACAAGATAGTTCTAGGGATTGACATTTCTCTAGAACGTGTATAGGCAACATATTTTACTAGAAAGAATGAGATATGTTAAATCATTTTTTTACTAGACAAGTTAACATATTTAGGAAACAACCTTGCTTTTTCATAAAATCTTTAAAATTGTTTTTGTGGTTCTGCCTTGGTTGAAAAAAAAATATTCAAGGTACAGGGCGTATGTTTAATCCTGCATAAAAATTGTCAATTGAGTTCAAGGTTTGGAACTTTCCACTTTAAGATAATTTCAGAATTCAATCTAATTTCTTCCAAGTATTAAAAATGACTTTGATTGCACGTTTCCTTTCTGACCCAATTCCTACTGAGCCAATTGCGCCTCTGTTACGTTTATTAATTAAAAGCGATATTTATAATGAAAGTACTTTTCTCAGGAATCTGTATACATTTCAGAAACAATACTACAGAAACTGCAGAGAAATACTTGGTCACACACACACATATGTACTTTTAGTTACTTTTTTCAGCACATTAATGTTTCCAGTGATTTATTGAGCATTAATTGTATTCTTATGTTGAGTGATTGTCTAAAGCTTCATATATATATCGTCAAAAAATAGGATTGCTTTCACTTCATGATATATCTACAGCTATGAAGATTTTGTTGATGGCTAGCTTTGTTTGGTTATATGGGATCATTGGTATAATTCCAGATTTAGCAGACAGTGCTTCCCTGGAAAAATCGGGGTCGTCTCCTGGTACTGGAAAAGTGTCAGGTGTTTTCCAGGATATTCCCAATCCAGACAGCTCGGTACGGTTGTCTATGGTTCTGAAAATTCAAAATTTGGCAATGGATGCCAAAGATGATAGGAATAACACTCAAACTGAACGGAAGATGCTTAGAAACGTAACAAAAGAAATGAGGAATGTGAAGAAATGGCAACGGAGGATAGAAGATGAAATCTCAAATTTTGAAAAAGAATTAAGATCTGATTTACTAAGAACTTTGAGGAAAATTTTAAGAGTTTTTCAATATCTGTTAATGAAACATTGGAGAGTATTCTTGAAGATCTACATAATTCCAAAACTCAACTGCTTGATATTTCTTCACGACTCCCAAAAGGTAATTGCTTCTTTTTGCCATTGCACTATAACTTGAACCTTCAAGTTTCTTTTTCTAAAACATCGATAAAAATACATTCAAATTACTGTATTATTTGAAAAGTTTTAGCAATGAGTTGAAAGAACAACTCCAATTATAATTTCATTCTATTTTGATTTTTTTTTTTTCAAAATTATATTGATGTCTCATTGCTGGGAACATTAAATTTGCATAAAGCTAACCATGTATCATAATTACATGAAAATTTCCTTTAAGCTGGAAATTAACTTTTGGCCTAAGAGCAACTAGACAGGAAGTCATAAAAATGAATAATAATAATAAGCTGATTTTCTTTATACGAAAAAAAATACTTTTATTGTAAATATATTCCAGATAAATTCTCATTAGAATGAACGAGAAATAGTTCGATCAGTAAAGGACTATGTATAGAGACAATTCCTTAATTTGGTTGTAGTTCTGGTCTTATTTCATTCTAAAATGATTTTTCAATTTTTTTATTTAATAAAAAAATATCAAAAAGCTCGATGCATTTGCTTCATCATGCAGTCGGTAATCTGAGATCCATGTATATAATGATTAATTAGCTGTTGAATATTTTTTTCCTTCTTGTCATACATATAGTTGTTATTAATTGTTCCTTTTGTTAAAAGTCTTCCCACAAGACTGCATGGAACTTTTGCAAAGCAATCCCGGTTTAAAAGGGAAAAATGGAAAATACGAAATATACCTGGACGGGGATAAGAAACCCGTGTACTGTGACATGAGTACTGACGGGGGAGGGTGGACGGTAAGTACACGTATATAGGTATATATGTCCATTAAGAAAAAAAGATAACATGGGTTAAAAATTTTAGTAACTTCGAATTCAGAATCTGCTTAGGGTAAATAGATGAAAAATTTCATATAAATCATTGATACTTGCTTAAAATGCAAAACATTACCAGCATAATTCTTTACTTGTTTATTTGCTTTTCGGGGTATTTGTTTTATTTGAGTATTATTCTTGCACTGATAACATTTTTTTGTTTGCTTTTTTTTGTTCATCTTGTACAAAATCATTTTAAAAACAGGTCATACAAAAACGAGTTGACGGGTTAACAGATTTTTATCGTACTTGGGAAGAATATAAAACTGGATTCGGCGATCCTTCTAAAAGCTACTGGATAGGTATAACATTTTACCTCATTATCTTTCTTAAATAACCATAGCGTCTTTGTTTGCCTTTTGCTTTATGCTAAAATTATAGGAAATACATTGAGCATAAATGCCGTGTTTTTATTTAAAAAATAGTTTGATGTTCTGTAGTTAAATCTTCATTTCAACTGAAGACTAATTTATCTGTTGGTCATTTTTGTGAACAATAGTGTTTCTTTAGAATTTAACCTTACTTTAAAATCTAATTCCTTGCTTGTTTGCGAATTATGATTTTAAATTTTCAGGACTAATAGCGAATCTTCTACCAAAATAATGTAACATATCAAGTTTCCCAGGAGAAGCTCGGTGCCACCTAGTGTAATATGTCGAGCATCCATAGAACCTTCATAGTGACATACCATGTTACATGTAAAGCACCAACAAATTATGTTATTGACACGATGAAATATGGAGATAACGAACAGTAATCAGGCTCAAAAGTCCATTGAAACAATACAAATTGAGAAAAAAAGCAAACAGGGGTTTCTAAAAATATCAGAGGTGGGATTAGGTGCCATGAAGGAGTAAGCATCCCCTGTCGACCTGTCACATCCGCCGTGTGCTAGTTGTCATGGTCGGAAAAATGGAACAGTCCGTAGACAATTCTGTGTGTAAATAATGGCCTAACAATTACTATGAAAAACGTCAGCCAGCATATCACTTAATGATAGATTGTATTTGCTGACAAGGTCATTGTATCAACCAATATAGAACTTTCGAAATGATGACTATAAACGAGACTGTTGATATCCATGTTTCATTAACTTAACTCATTTTTCAATAGGTTGTCTCTTTTTAGAAATTATTCGTACGTGAAACATGCTTTTGCGTATCGAATCAACCGGGATATATAAACCTAATATGCAAGTGATAAGGGTATATTGCTATATAAGTAAGGGAAGTTGACAATAGAGAAAATGAAGTCATCACGGTTATGAAAAAAAAAATGTTGTTAGGTTACTATTAACGTCTTTTTCATGTAAACTATACAAATATGAAACAGATGTGTCAGACTCTGTGGCAACTTTTATTTCAAGTTCACTGGAATGTATCGAGTCGACATATGAATGGCAGTAACTATTGTTAATTGATAGATCTAAATGTCGAGCTGAAGGCCACAGCAAATGTTTTCTTCTCATGAATGATTTTTTAAATAGATTCTGCTTCATAGGACATCAAAAATAAGTCTGCTACTAACAGGGCGCAATTGGTATCCATGAGAATTTCGACAGATTATTGGAAGACCTGATCTCCAAAAACTACATAGATATTATCAATTAGAAACTCAAGCATATTTTTAATAACTACTTTAGAGTACTAGTGTGTGCAATCAGAATGCTTTTTGACAAATCAATTTTGCAAATGACCAATGACAAAGTAAGTATATTTACGAGTTTCATTTTTTATTGAAAAAGCAGCTGTGTGTGATGTCAAAATCCCTGAACTTTAATTTATCATGGGGAATGGTTGTATAAAGTGTAAAAAAGGGTACGCTTTGGTGTTAACGATTTTGGTAAAATTGTGCAATTTGTAACAACCTGTTACATATGTAATTTTTCGTTCAATTTACAATCAAGTCATTCAGAAAAAAATGTTTGTTGATTGCACACATAACTTCATATCATAATCTGTTGAACACGAAGTGGCCAGAAACTCCCTTACTAGTATTACTTTGAATACCAATAAATGATACTAATTAATCAGAGAAAATGTTTTTCTTTAGCATATGTATATCTGTAATGAACAAGTCCCCCACTCTCTCTCTTCAATTTTGACTTTGTTAAGAATATTAGGAAAGATAAAATGAAAACCTAACTTCTTTCGTTAAGAGAAAAGGCTTCTAGTTGGATTTGAATTATTGTTCACACAGCTATAGAAAACAGCTAGTGCCACCTTTCTTCTAGTACCTCAGATGTTTGTACATTTCCATCTATTGGTTTTCTGTGACTACAGAGGAAAATGTATTTTTTTTTGTTTCTGTATGGATAGAAATAATATATATTTTTTTAATTTGTTGAAATGTGAGTTTTTTTTGTGTACGGATGTTGTGTTTTCCTAAATCTTGCCAATTACGATGTATATGTCAGGTCCCTTTCAGTTTAATCGGTAGACAAAAATGTTGTCTAATCAGAAATGTGGCCTTCTTTTTGAAATCAGTGGTCACCAGTTTAGACAAGTCCAACTGCATCAACATAGGAGAATATTAAAAAAAATGTCTTACTTCAAGGTAACGAGGCCATACACTTACTCACAAAGGAAGGCAGGAATGAACGCCGTGTTTATATTGAGAGATATAGCGGTGAAAAAACCTTTGCTAGATATTCTAGTTTCTCAGTAGGAGACGAGCAGAGCAAATACAAACTGAGTGTATCAGGTTATAATGGCACTGCAGGTAAGTTTACATTTGTTAGATTTTTCATATACCCTTGTACGTCTTCAATTTTGAGTTATTCATTTTTTAAAAACAAATTCTCCGTATCCATGTTCACTGACAAGTGTTTAGTTTTTTTTTTTTTTTTTTTTTTTTTTTTTTTTTTTTTTTTTTGAAAATAAGATATCTCTCCTATTTTTAATCTAAGGGGATGGACTAACTTATCATAGCGGAGCAAATTTTACAACAAAAGATCAGGATAACGACGAAAGGGAGTATGGAAATAGTGCTGAAATGCGTCAAGGCGGTTGGTGGTACCAGACAGGATACGTTTCCCACCTGAATGGGGTGTATGCTGATAGTGCCACAAAAGATCTTAAGAACATTCAATGGAGTCATCTCGATTCCTTGAAAAGTACTTCAATGATGATCAGACCTTTGCTTTAAAGACTAAATGTCAAGGATATAACGTACGTTTCGTTCTATGCAACATGAAAATATGTGCAATGTTTTCGTAATATCTTCATTCTTGCTTTCATACCAGTATTTTCTTGTAATGAAAAAAAAATGCATTAAAATTACATTCTTTAAAGATTAATTGTTCATACTTTTTAGAATTCTGAATTATTAACAATATTAACTAGTGTTCTGTAGAAAAAAATCAATTACATCATTTATATATTTTTTTTTTTTCAATTTCAGATTTAAAATATTGAAAACAAATGTTGAACTTATATTATTTTTACATTAATTATCATGTTTAAAATAAAATTCATAAGAAAATTTTAATTCCCCTCAGTATGTGTTGTATTTAATATTTCCTTGCAGATATCCGGCAATCATGCTTGGAATAGGACATGCATAATACAATTAGCTAGGTATACATGTACTTTAAAAAATTCGTTATACGGATATAATGAATTACAGATATAGTAAAAATAATTCCAGGTCCCTAGAAATTCCTTTAACCGAGTTTTACTGTATATCACTGAAACCAGGAAAAATCATTGAATATTACAATTACGTACATGTATATTGATGCATGTTCTTTTCATGATAAGTTTTTTCAATGATAAAATATATTTTTGTCCATAGCAAATTTTCATGAAAACATATATTGTTCTAATTTAGTCCAAAATTAAGAAATAGACTTATTATTTTTATCAAGATTCTGAAAATTATTTGTGATTTTTCTCATCCGTTTTAATCAAGGTATCCTTTGGTACTTTGAAAATCAGGAAAAAACTTTATAAGTTGCTAAGCTGTTTTGATGAAAACGGAAAAGTCTCCTACCCACTCTGCCTCCAAGGAAATACATGATGAGTTGTTTTTTTTTTTAACAAAGTTTGTTCAATTTTTATAGAAAATATTTTTATATGATCATTCTCTTTAATAATGTGTCAATATAGACTTATATTTACAAAAGATAGCAAAACTTACTCCCCCTTGATAATTACGACAAATAACATAACAGAAAAAAAGTTCTGTATGGTAGTGGCCCTAAGAGGAGCTGCTTTCTACGGGCGTTAATGCTGAATTTATGACATTGAGTATCAACAAGCAAACTGTGGAACAACAAAAAAAGTGTTATTAACTTCTGTAAACGTGGATATTTATACAAGTTACTTATTACGCGAATATTTTGCAGAAACCTTCTCTAGGATAATATTTTTGATACTAAAACAAGAAAAATGCATTTGAAACCTTGTTAATTCTAAGATAAGATATTGTTCAAGAAATAATGAGTATAAAATATTTATCATTTAAATGATTATGCAAATACAGCTACTTTGTATGTTCTCAAAAGAAAAAAAAAGAAAATTAATTAATTAAAAAAAAATTACTTGAACACTCTCTTTAATTATACATTCAACATAATATGACTCAGCAGATCGCAGTTTATTGCAACCTACAGATCATGTACAGTGCAATTTACTACTTTCGCTTCAGCATCTATACTGATATTTAAAAACCCTTTGCTTGCTAATTTAATGCTAATTATCCTTATCCTGTTCTTAATTCTGGTTTTAAAACTACTTTAATAAAAAAGTCTTTATAAAATAGTTTTATATTTTTTTATATTGATATTTTAAACTACAAACTAGTTTTCTTTCCCTGTTCTGATTTTTTTAATGAAAATAAAATTTCGTTTGATTTTTTTATGCTAATACGTCAATGCTGATTTTAAGTAGGCCAATGCTCGCTATGCAAGTTGTATCCTCTGCCTGTTGATGCTGATCCTGGAAATGCTATTCTAAAAATGCTGATAATAGTGCTCACTGGATACTTATGTTATTTTGCTCATGCTGATGCTGATTTATGCAACAGTGAAATACTGTAATTTATTTACTGAATAAAAATGATATTCTGACATAGCTGCAATAATGTAGCCCTCTCCGATTTTTTTAATCTGATATTTTCAGGAGAGGGCTACAATTCCACTGCATCTCCGTAATGTTGCAAATGTATTTTTTAGATACGGGCGACTGCAGGCAAAATAAATTGTTTTTGCATTCAACTTACTTCCAATGAGACGGAATTTTTATTCACTGTCAACATCATAGCCCTTTATACGCGAAAACCAAGTAAAATAAATCTGCGTGTTTACCAGTCGTTCTCCTCAGCAGCCATGACAGTTCTAGTGTGATGAACTGAGACTTGCGCTTGAAATTTAGAATCACTTGATAAAGTAAATCTCGGTGTTGATAAATGTTTGTGTTGTATGATATCACTTAACATCGATAAATAAAAGCATTCCATGGGATATTTTTTTCATAAACAATTTTATATTAATGCAATAAGTATTTTGATAGCCCAATTGCCCATTAAATTGCTTATTTCTTTCCATAATCCTCTCATCACTAGAGCACCATATCTTATCCTCCTTCAATGAATAAAAAGTCTGTAAAACAGTCTGTCGTGTGTTGCCACCTTTGTGACGTTTAATAATTTGCTTGAAATTCTCAAAAGTATTATTAACAATGGCATATAATTTTAGCTGACACAAAATATAAATATGAGAAATAAACTAATTTTGTAAAGGGAGATAATCCAAATTTCCAGTAATTACAACTTAGACTTAACAGAAAAATCATGAAAATGGGTCTGAAAACGCCACTGACTTGACCGCACAAGGGAAAGTTCAGACCCATGAAGAAAAATGGCAACACACATCAAACATTAAACAACATGGGAATAAACATATGTCCCATAATGCAACAAAACCCCATCTGTTCATGAGACTTATAGGACAAGATAATGTATCATCTATTACAATTCAATTATAATAAAAAAAAATAATAAAAAATAATAATAATAATAATTTTCCCTATGTTCTATGAGGGATAGACATATGCCCCCATAATAACAAAATCTGAAGATAACTGTTAAAAGGGATGCATTTCATATGCCCTTCTGAGTATTAACAAATGACTCAGGGACTGATGTGCCTGATAAGGGATAAACATATGCCCCAATATTCACAAAGCATCACATTCCTCGCCGTCTTTTACCAAGTTCACATGTGTGTAGACTCTTCATCTATCAGCTTGAAGTATTACATGTAATAATTGACTTATTAAGCAATAATGTGCCTGGTGAGGGGTAGACATATGCCCCCATATTAAAAATACATCACACTGTAAATTTCATTGCTGTCTTTTTCCAAAGTTTATATGTGCGCAGTCTTGTCACCTAACAGCCTAAGTATTAACCAATGACTTAAGCACTATTGTTCTGGATGAGGGATAGTCGTATGCCCTCATATGTTAATATTCCTGAAAATCACTTTGAAAACAAGATCCTCAATGAGTAACAAAAGGCTCCATTTCCACTCCAGCATATATCAACATGGTGTCACATTTCTAATATAAGATTTAAATGCATCCGATTTCCATCTACCCAGGAATCTAATCTGACTATCACTCATCCCCCTTGATGCACAGTAAGAGGCCATCCCAATTCGAAAGGAATGTCCTTTGAATCTATTGACATCTAAATTACAAAACATGAGACTTTGCTTTAATACATTTGAAAATTCTTGCCTTGTGACTGCAATGTTTGGGGGGTAGCAAAAAAGGGGCCCATCACCCCTCCCTCTCATTTTCAAGTAGTGTTCTAATGCCTCAACAGGACAGTATTTTAAACAATTGCAGGAATTAATTGTAAGAGTAAAAACTTTACCGCCTGAATGTTTATAATTTTGAAAGTGAATCAAAACCTTGCTTATCTGAAAAGTAACTTGTGACATTTGTAAGACATGATTAGCAGTGCAAACTGATGTTATTTCTCCTATTCTGAGGAAGCCATGGAAAGCCAATAAAAACATTGCTTGAAATAATACTTTTATATATATGTTTGATACTGTATGTTCTAATGCATCACAAATTTTATGTAGAACTACTATGGTTATTGGTAAACGAATATCCATTGAAGGTCTCGTTTTGCGACAAGAACTTAATAGTTTTTGAACAAGGAGGCATGACGTATTGTCAGGCAAGTTATTAATTCTATGTATATATGCTATTGATGAAATAAATGACACAATGGAGGAGGCTGCATAACCATCAGCAAATAAATAAGAGATAAACAAAGCCAAAGTATCCTGAGACAATGGAAGATCATTACCGATATTAAATTTGGTCGCAAAATTTCTATAAATAGACCATGCCCGTTTATATGCCTGAGTGGAAGCTGGTTCCAATGTTGAAGTCAACAGGTTCCTCAAGACTGGTTCAAAGGTGGTAATGCTGGCAGCTGAGGAATCACCATTGGTTCTTTGTCCATCTAAGGAGCCAGTTGATGGAATTGCTGCACCTTCAAACGAGACAAGCAGTCACATAGAATATTTTCTTTGGTACCAAGATGCCTAGCTTGAAACAAAATGTTAGACTGCAAACAAATGAGCACTAATTCTCTTACGAGATACATTATACGTTTATCCTTAGACGATTGCTTGTTAATGATATGCACAAGGGCATAATTGTCTGTGTAAAAATAAATACACCTATTTTTCAAAATATGACTCCACACCTTAAGAGCTAACACTATTGGATAAAATTCCAAGAGAGTAATATTAGATTTTTTCCAATTATCATTCCAAGTCCCATAGAACCAGTGCCCACCTAACACTGCCCCATAACCAATGGATCCTGAAGCATCTGTATACAATTTCAATTCATTAGAATCTACCCACCTATCTGGTAAGAAAACTGACCTACCATTAAATTGTTCCAAGAAGGCTAACCAAGTATGCAAATCTGCTTTTACCTCTTTGTTTAGTCTAATGCGATAATATGGTCTTGTTATGCCAATAGTAGTATTGATAAGTCGCCTTAGAAATGCTCTTCCTGGCAAGACAACATTACAAGCAAAATTAAGAAGACCAATTACTGATTGCATATCCTTCAAAGTAATCTTTTTGCTTGGTAAAAGCTCCTCAATTGTATCCCTACATTTTTTAACTTTAGCAATAGGTAGTCTTGCCTCCATCATCTCAGTGTCTAATTCATAACCCAGAAAAGTCATTACCTTGTGAGGACCGAATGTTTTATCCTTAGCCATTGGTATATCTATGTCAGCACAAACTGTTAAGAATGCCTCAAGTTTTTTGTGGCATCCTGTAGCAGATTTGTCAACAATTAGAAAATCATCTAATACATGAGTCATAAATTTAATACCTAATTTTTCCTGAGCTAT